GGCAAGAAAGAACAAGTGTTGGCCAGGATGCTGTGAAGAGGGAAACCCTGTGCACTGCTGGTGGGAAGTAAAATGGTGCAGCTGCTGTGGAAAACAGTATGGAGGTTACTTGAAAAATTAAAAACAGAACTACCATATGACCCAGCAATTCCACATCTGGGTATTTATGTGAAGAAAACAAAACACTAACTCGAAAAGACATATGCACTCTCATGTACACTGAGGCATTATTTACGATAGCCAAGTTATAGAAACAACCGAAGGATCAACTGATAGATAAGTAAGACAAAGAAAATGTGGTATGTATACACAATGGGGTATTACTCAACCATTAGAAAAAAAATGAAATCTTGCCATTTGCAATAACAAAGATAGATCTTGAGGGCATTATGCTAAGTGAAGTAAGAGAGCAAAAGATAAGTATGATTTCACTTACACGTGGAATTTAAAACAAAAACAAAAAACCCAAGCTCACTGATACAGAGAACAGACTGGTAGTTGCAAGAGGTAGGGAGTGCTGGGTGGGGCACAAATGGGCAAGAGAGTCAAAAGGTACAAATTTCCAGTTATAAAATAAATAAGACTGAGGAAGTAGCAATGTAGCATATGGATGGCAACAACAGTTAACAACACTGTATTGAATATTAGAAAGTTGATAAGAGATTTTAAAAGTTCTCATCACAAGAAAAAAAATTCTGTAACTATGTGTGGTGATGGATGTTAACTAGACTTACTGTGGTGATCATTTCATAATATATACAAATATCAAATCATTATGTTGTTCACCTAAAACTAATATTATATGTCAATTACACCTCAATTAAAAAAAAAAACTTACACACAAATGTTCCTAGCAGCATTACTCAAAACAGACAAAAAGTAGTAACAACCCAAATGTCCACCGATGATGAATAGATTAAAAAAAAAATGTTGTACAGCCATACTATGGAATATTATTCAGCCATAAAATGAAATGCAATACGGATAAATACTACAATGTAGTTGAACCTTGAAAACATTATCGTCAATGAAAGAAGCCAGTCATAAAAGGTCACATATTGCATGATCCCATTTATAGGAAATGCACACAACAAACAAATGCATGGAAACAAAGAAGATGAGTGGTCACCAGGGTTTGTGGGGAGTGAGTGGGTCATAGGGGATTAACTGCTAATGGGTACACAGTTTCTTTTTAGGGTGATGAAAATGTTCTAGAATGAGTGGATGATGGTTGCACAACTTTATGAATATACTAAAACCCACTAAACCTTATACTTGAAGAGGGTAAATTTTCTGGTATGTAAATTAAATCTCAATTTTTTAAAAGATGGCGGGGTCTATTTCTCCACCACTGGTTTGGGCTGGTCCTGTGATTGTTTTGACC